AATATAAAAAAAAAAAGTTTAAATTGTTAGAATCTGATATTTTAATGGACAATTGTCCCACCACCATCCTTCTTCACTCCGTTCATCCTTAAACACTAATAGATAAACCTTAAAATAATAGCAAAATAAAATGATAAGTTTAAACCAAAAATTGTTACGTAATTTAAACAAAAAGATATATTTTGAAATATTTATTTATTTCTGTTAACCTAAATATTAATATAAACTATATTTATTATTAAGGAAATGGATACTTTGTGCAGGTTTAGTTGAGGCTTATTTTTCTAAGGATTAATAAAAAAATGTTTAAATTATATATTTTTTCTTAAAGTATTGCTTAAATCATTTTTTCGCCCCATCTAGGTACTTAATCCTATAAATATTATTACTTTAATTGTCCTGACCGTAATGACCTTTAAATACTCCGTTAAGTGACACGTCACGTTCTGATAATTTAAAAAAATATATTTTAAAAACGTCAACTTTTCTTAATTTACAAAAACTCTCTAATCCCTAAAATTCTCAAATCTATAACTCTAATCTTAGCTCTCTTGTCAGCCATGATCGCCGTCATGACACGTCGTCTTTGTCATCTGTCATTGTTAGACTTCGTCATCATTGTCGTCGATTGACCGTCTAGATCATGTGAATTGATCGTGTCGTAATTTACAATTTTATTCTTCGTTGAGGGGATCACGCTATTCGTCGTTCGTTGGTTCCTATTCTGGTGGTTGTTTGTGGGATTATTGGTTGTCAGATGGAGGTGAGGTCGATGTCAAAGGCTGACGGACGAAGTGAGTTTAGAGATTGAAATTAGGTTTTAAAGTTTTTGGGGGGTTTTTTAAGTTTTCGATTTTTGGTTTTTTAATAAAAATATAAATTTTTATTTTTATTTAAAATAAAATTTACAAAATTACCAAAGTGTGCACATGTGTCACATAATAGAATTTTTTAACGATTGTTATAGTTAGGCCACCTAAAATTAGGGGTGAGCAAAACTCGGCTCAACTCGAAAAACCAATTTTTTCAACTTGATTCTAAAAAATTTCAAGTTCAAATCGAGTTGTAAAATATAACTCGAATAACCAAAAATTTTAGTAATTAGTAGAATAATTTTCAAGATTGAGTCAATGTTTGAGTCAAGTCCATCGACTTGTATGGTATATGTAATCATGTATGAAAAAAATAATATGTATTGACTATTGTATATGATTATAAAATACCATTTAAATTGGAATAAAAATGCCATAATATTGTAAATATTCACAATTAAATTTAAATGATAATGAATTCATAAAATGTTTTTAGAATAATCAGTCAAATAATAACAATGTAACACTCAATTCCTGTATACGTTTCCGTACAAGAGTCATAGATGCCACATCACTTGAAAACTTTTCACTTCTAAAGAACCAGTAAAAAATTTGTTTCCAATCATAAAACATTTTAATTTAATAATATAAAATGTTCATTAACTTATAATATGTAAACAAATCTTAAAGGTTCGACATATTAAATTTTTTACATCATCATAAGTCAAAATACTTTCAGAGCATTAAATAAATCTATACTGATAGGTAACAACATCAAAAGTAGACATAGTTGTCGTACAGTTACTGATGAGGCGACCCTTGATTGGCAATGTCAGATGCACTCCTTACTCCGCTCGCTAAAACCTACGTGTGAAATTAACACACGTTAAGTATTTACTTAGTGAGACAATAACACTACTGAGGTGATATCAATACAGAAGTATATCATAACTATCAAAATACGAATTAATTATTTCAAATCATTATAAGTTCTTTAGGGTGCACACTTAGTGCCGATACGATCATTCATAAGCTCATTATGAATTCTGTGGGTTGCACACTTAGTGCCGATACGATCGTTCAAAACTTATTATGAATTCTGTGGGTTTGCACTTAGTGCTGATACGGTTGTTCATAAACTTATTGTGAATTTCATGGGTTGCACACTTAGTGCTACGGTTGTTCATAAACTTATTATGAATTTCGTGGGTTACACTTAGTGCCAATACAGTTGTTCATAAACTTATTATGAATTCTGTGGGCACACTTAGTGTCAATACAATTGTTCATAAACTTATTATGAATTCTGTGGGTTGCACACTTAGTGCCAATACGGGTTTTCATAAACTTATTATGAATTCCGTACGCTGCACACTTAGTGCCGATACATAAAAATGCAAAATATACATTAACCAACATGCAATTATAACTCTCAATGTACATAATTGCACTCACCTGATTTACCACACTGTTATGCACCGATGTAGTCCAACTATTCTGCGACTTTATCCTTGCCTTTTTGTTTGCTTGACTCGGAGCTCGATTACGATCAATATAAGCATCCATAGTCACACATACAATATGATGTTAGTATACTTACTAACATTAATCGAAAGTACTAATACTCAAAAGTACTATTACATTTCAAATTCTATTAAAATTCGCCCTAACTTAAATTTCTGACTGAGTAGTATCGGCACCCTCCTATGGTGTCGATACTTCTATACTATGTACCGATACTCCTTTTAGTATAAATACCATTTTTGCATTCTAGAATCCATAGTATCGATACCCCCACAACAATATCGATAATGTTCATCATATTCATCCTTTTCAAATTTAAACTTATTGTATCGGTTCTATTCTTCCAGTACGATACCTTTACCCAGATTTTACATATTTCACTTCAATTTTACCACATTTTTGCCTAAATCTCTTACTTTTATCCCCAACCATACCATTAAACTCATCATACTTAATCCAACTAACTTACATCCATAATCTTCTTATAACATCTAAAATCTCCAAAGAACACTCAAAACTAAGAATCACACCAATTTTCAAACATGTTTTTAATCACTTATAAGGCTCTAAATCTCTTATTTACTTCTTTGGCAAGTCAAATATACTTTTAAACTTCAATAAAGAACCATATTTCATCATATCACTCAAAAATCCATTTTCTTAAATCTCAAATAAAATTTTGATCTCTTAGTTTTAATCCTCCTTGAACTTTCCTTAAGCCTCTATATCACTTAAGGTTTCAAAACCAACCCAAAAACAAAAAGAAAAAACCAACATTGAAGAATCCTTACCTTGGCTATCGAGGGCATGGGACTACGGGGAAGAAGAAGAAAACCACTTTGACTTATCCCCTTATTTCCCTTATTAAATATCCTTAATAATAATGAATGTTAAATTCATTTCCCTCTAAAGGACCATAATGTCCTTCCATTCTTTCATTCTTACTAATTAGTCTTAAACACAATTTCCTAAATCATTCCCTATACTTTTCAATCTACTCACTTTAACCCACCAAAATTTAAAATACTTTCACTATGGTCACCGACCAAATATTTGGGGTATTACAAACAAAGTATTTTACAAAAAAAATATCTAAACATTAAGAATGTATCGAATTCTGTTTAGTTTTAGAAAATGAAAGACATTGATGAAGTCACATTTGATTAAGACAGTTTGGCAGAGTTTTTGAAAAGTGACTTTTAAAAGTACAATAAAAAAGAATTTTTAAAATTGTTGTTTAAAATTTAATTGTTTGATATTGTTGTTAAAAATTGAGTTTGAAAAGATAAAATGTCCATTCTAGATATTATAGTATAAATTAAAAATATAAAATTTAAATACACTTATTAGTACTATGATGTATAAAATATATTAACTTAAACTATGATAAAAATATAAAAAATATTTTAAGATAACTCTTTTAACATTTGAATTTTAAGATAATAATTTAATCATTATGATGCAACCACAATCACTCGTTTAAAATTTAAAATAACATAATTTAAATGATTTATTTGTCTTTTAACCAATCAAATAAAAATTATATTATAAATTCAAATGAAATTATTATTATATATATATATATATCAAATTAAACTATAATAAAAATCTATTTTATTATAACTCACTACTAATATTTTAATATATAAAATATGAATTTTATTTATTTTTAAGTAATTAAAATAATTTATTAAGTAATAAATTATTTTTAAGGATGTTAATATTAAATAAAATGTAAATATAATTAAGGAGATTCTATGTATTAGTGAGGGTAAAATTATATTACTTCCAAACGCAAAGTTGAAAATGAAAAAACTAGAATTCTAACTTTTGCGGTTGGTTTAAACAACACTGTAATTTTTTTTTATTCAAAACGGATTTTTTAACTAAATTGTTTTAAGAAAGTCACACCAGAAGGAGTCCCTAAACTTATCAAATGAGAATATTAAAAATATTTTTATGTTTCTACAAAAATGTTCTAAATTGAAAAAGATAAAATAAATATTTCAAATTATAAATGACACGAGTTCAAAAGCATACAAATATAAAAAAAATATTTTTAAATATTTTTATTTTTAAATAATGTAGGATAATTATAATATAATATCTATTCAAAATTAACATCATTAATACTTGAACTCAAAATATTTAAGTAAAACAATATTTATTTTTATAACTAAAATTACTTAATAGATTCAAATCATTGATCCTATTCAATTCATAAAATATACGATTTTTTTATTTCATTTATCAAATATTTATTTTATGAAAATAATTAACCAAATACTTTTAATTAATGAAAATAAAATTTATTTTTATTTCTCAAATATGTTAACGCGCCATTGGTCTTAACAGATGAAGTTCACAAATTTAACCTCGTAGTAATTGGATGGCCAGTCAATATAAAGGGTGCTACTGTAATAGCATTATTTGAAACTTTGTAGGAACGCCAACTGAGCAATCCGCGTCGCAAAGCATCGGATCACGAATATGAAATATCGAAGCCATCTTGCCGTTAATTCATTCCCCACGTTTCAACTGTATCCAACGGTTATACATCTTCCACGTCACCGATCCTCGTGAAACCTAAACAAACCAATAATCCCCGCCATTTGTCTTTCTATAAAGACCACCTAACCTTTCATCAAACAATCCCATCTCAAAGTTTCATTGAATCCAATTTTCTCTCTCTTACCCCAAAGCAACGCAAAAGCTAACCCTTAGAAAAAGCAATGGCACCCAAAGCTGAGAAGAAGCCGGCGGAGAAGAAACCGGCGGAGAAGAAGCCAGCTGAGGAGAAGAAAACCGTCGGCGAGAAAGCCCCGGCGGAGAAGAAGCCAAAGGCTGGGAAGAAGCTTCCCAAGGATAGCGGAGCAGCTGCCGGTGACAAGAAAAAGAAGAGATCTAAGAAGAGCATCGAGACTTACAAGATCTACATCTTCAAGGTCCTCAAGCAAGTCCATCCGGACATAGGGATCTCAAGCAAAGCCATGGGAATCATGAACAGTTTCATCAACGATATCTTCGAAAAGCTTGCTCAAGAAGCCTCTAGACTCGCAAGGTACAACAAGAAGCCCACCATCACTTCTAGGGAAATCCAGACAGCTGTCAGGCTTGTACTTCCCGGTGAACTTGCCAAACATGCCGTCTCTGAAGGAACCAAGGCTGTGACCAAGTTCACTTCATCTTGAGAAGGGAATTTTAGCTGTTCTATGGTTAGGGTTAGGGTTAGGGTTAGGATTTCCCCCTTTCTTAAAGTAGTCGTGTGATTTTCTATCTTTAATTTCTAAAATTTCGGCATGTGTTTGGATATTTGGTTTGTATTCGAACGTGGATCTACTCGATTCCGATTGACCCTTGTAGAAATTAATGCAATCAAAATAATTTCGCTTGATTTCTAAGAGTTGACTTGTTTAATTGAAAAACAAAACTAGAACTGAAAGCTTAAAAGGAATGTGGAAGTTGGAAGAAGTAAAGATGAGAGTTGATAGATACATGGCCAATGCAGTGGTAAAGTGGGGCGAGGTGATTTCGGCAGTGAGTGCATAAGAGGAAGCTGTTAGCAGCATTCCTCAGGAATCTGACGGCGTATGGAGGCCACTCCTCCGTTGGCGGCTTCTTGATTGTGAGTTGTGAAGTGGATTAGACCTGATTTAATATTTGTATTAAATATATTTTTGAGAAATTTAACAGCAATTTATATGTAATTATTAAATTATTTTTTAATGTAAATGACAATTTTTAAATTTTTTTCTCATTCATTACAATATATATATATATATATTGCGTTTTAAAACCAAACAGTGCTCTTAACTTGTTGGTTTGGGTTTTGACTTATATCCTTTCTTGTTGGTTTGGGTTTTGACTTATTATGATAAATGATCACATTCTACCGTTTTAATATATGGTTAAAAAATGATGTTATTGGTTTTGTTATTATTTAAATAATAAAATTGATAAAAAAATATCAAAAATATTATTTTTTTTATCGATTTTGTTATTATTATGCATTTTTACCTATTTTGTTAACAAAACTGGTAAAGTATTATTGGCTTTGTTATTTTTTCTACCGGTTTTATTATTGTTGGGTATTTTATTAGAAATGTTAAAAAATATTGATGTGTTAAATATAAATAATAATGTTTTATGTAACTTTTTACCGGTTTTATTATTTAAATAATAACAAAACCGATACCTTTTTTAGTTGTATATTAAAGATATCATACCGTAAAACTTTTCACTTATTATCTTTGTTGAAGTTTGAATTCTTTAATCTCCAAGTTTGAGGTTTTATTTTTACTCAATTTTTTATTTAATCGAATGGTGACACATATCATCATATGATTAGGTAGCAAATAAAAAAATTATGTCAGCATATAATTGTGTAGAAAAAAAATCATTCATATTATAACACATGTCACAATATGATTAAAAGATTAAATTTATAAAATTAAATTTAAATTAATATTAAATTGATAGAATATATAAATATTAAAATTTAAATATATAATTATAAGTTAACTTTTTTAACTTCACGTTAATATTTCAGTCAACTATTAACGATTAGTAACTTAATTTAACGTATTTAAATAATTAGATGGTTTGATTAATAAAATTAAAAGATCAATGACAAAAAAATAAAAAGATTACATAATTAAATAATCAATGGTATAATTTATCAATTCTTTTATTACCGAATTCGTTCCGTTCGTACTCTTTTATACTAGTTTCGTTTTTAGCTATAGGAACTGATCAGGTAACTTAACAAATCACATATTCATTATATGCAACGTAAGGCTTACGTGGCAACGTCTATTTCGTTTTAAAACTGAATGTAAAACAAATCTAATCGTACCTAATCCGAGCTCTCCTCTGCACAATATTTAAGTCCACTATCGCCGAAGTCTGTGTGTATAAAGTGAAACGAAGAGTACACTTTTAATTCCCTCTTTTTCCCTTCTTGAAATCGCGAGTTGTTTTGCAGCTGTTATCATTTTATATTGACATGGCATCTCAAGCCAGCCTCCTACAAAAAATAGCTCAAAGGTACTGCTTTCCTTGATCGTTTTCAAGTTAATGAATATACGAATATGATATGAGTTCTTTGTTGAATTGAAAAGTCAAATAAAACAAAAAAAACTTTCGGTGGGTTTTTTAAGCAACATGGGCGGCTATTAGACAACAATTGTTGATTTTTTAGTAAGGGTAAATTATACTTTAGTCATTACACTTTAGGGTATTTTCAAAGATTAGTCCCTAAGCTTCAACTATAAATACCCTAGCTCATTTAGCTTCAAAATCATCCCAAAATCCCAAATCATTTCTTTCTCCCAATACTAGATAGCTTTCTTGTGAGTAGTGAGTGTTTTGTAAACACCTGTAAATTTTCTCTCTTAGTAAAAGATCTGCAGCAGTCCGGAGACGTAGGCAAAATTGGCTGAACTCCGTTATCAATTTCGGGTATTATTTTTTCGCTTTTATTTCGCATTCTCATTAATCTGGTTATAGGAAAATTACTCGTACTAGGTTTATTTCCCAACAACTGGTAATCAGAGCTTTTGGTTGTGAATTTTGTCAATTTTTTGTGAGGTTACTATTTATTACTATTCACGTGAATAGTGAAATTTTGTCGGCGATACGAATTTATCGACAGAGGTGTTCTAATACACGGTGGTTCGCAAGAATTGTCAGGGAACGATCCAAACGAAGCCAGATTCGAGTGGGAGCGATGGCTGCAGATGAAGGGAATGTGAAAATGGAGAAGTTCGATGGTGTGGAATTTAGCTTTTAGAAGATGCATATTGAAGATTTTCTGTACTAGAAAAATTTATATTAACCTCTCTCAGGAAAGCAACCAGAGGGCATGAAGAATGAAGACTGAGCTCTTCTCGACAGACAAGCCCTCGGAGTTATCCGATTGACGTTATCCCGCAATGTTGCTTTCAACATAGCAAAGGAAAAGACCACGACGAGTCTTATGACGGCTCTCTCCAGTATGTATGAGAAGCCATCGGCCTCAAACAAAGTGCACTTGATGAGGCGATTATTCAATTTGCGGATGGCGGAAGGGGCATCAGTGGCTCAACACCTGAATGAACTCAACACAATCACAACCCAATTGAGTTCAATGGAAATTGAATTCGATGATGAAGTTCGAGCTTTAATTCTCTTATCATCTCTACCAGACAGTTGGAATGCTACTGTTACGGAAGTCAGCAGCTCGTCGGGAAACAACAAATTAAAATTCGACGATGTTCAGGATCTGATATTGAGCGAAGAAATTCGACGGAGAGAATCGGGTGAAGCAAACAACTTCCTCAGCCTTGCACACGGAGTCCAGAGGGAGATCTTCAGAAAGAAATTCAAATCGTGGCAGATTGAAATCTAGAAGGGGTAAATCAAGAACAGGAAAGAAAGATTTTACCTGTTATAATTGTGACAAGAAAGGTCACTTTAAAAAAGATTGTCGAGCATTGAAGAACGATATCGGTGCACAGGAATCTGCAAACATGACAGAGGAGACAGGTGATGCCATGATTCTAAGCGTCAACAGTCCGATTGAATTATGGATCTTGGATTCAGGGGCATCTTTCCACTCCACCCCATGCCAAGAAATCATGGAGAACTATATCAGTGGTGATTTTGGGAGGGTTCATCTAGCTGATGATGAAACCTTGAAAATCATCGGAAAAAGAGACATCCGATTAAAGTTGCCAAACCAGACCACCTGGAAGCTGAAAGGAGTGAGACATATTCCTGGCCTCAAAAGAAATTTAATTTCTGTAGAACAGCAGATGCTGATGGAAAATTAAACCTATGGCACCAAAGGCTTGGTCATATGAGCGAGAAAGGGATGAAGACATTTTTGTCAAAAGGGAAGTTGCTGGATCTAAAGAATGTAGATGTTGGACTATGCAAGGATTGCATCTTTGGAAAAAAAAAGAAAGTCAGCTTTGAAAAGATTGGTAAGACACCCAAGGCTGAAAAGTTAGAGTTGGTTTATACTGATGTATGGGGACCATCTCCAGTTCCATCTCTTGCAGGCTCATTATATTATGTCACCTTCATCGATGATTCTACAAGGAAGGTATGGGTTTATTTTCTGAAGAAGAAATCAGAAGTCTTTGATACCTTCAGAAAATGGAAGACCATGGTGGAAAATGAGACTGGTCTGAAAGTCAAGCTGTTGAGGTCTGACAATGCAGGAGAGTACAGAAATCGTAGATTCAGAGATTTCTGCGCAAACAATGGGATCAAGATGAAGACAACAGTTCCCATGACACCGCAGCAGAATGGCGTAGCAGAGCGCATGAACAGAACTCTAAATGAACGTGCCAGAAGCATGAGGATACATGCCGGATTATCCAAATTTCTATGGGCTGAAGCTATCAACACTACAGCTTACCTGATCAACCGTGGGCCCTCAGTTCCTTTGGATGGCAGAATACCAGAGGAAGTTTGGTGCAATAAAGAACTAAACCTTTCACAGTTAAGAGTGTTTGGTTGTATTTCTTATGTACACAGATTCTGCTGAAAGAAGTAAACTTGATGTCAAGTCCAACAAATGCGTCTTTGTTAGTTATGGTGGTGATGAGTTTGGTTACCGGTTTTGGGACTATGAAAATCGGAAGATCATCAGAAGTAGAGATGTCATTTTCAATTAGAATGTGATGTACAAAGACAGGTCAACCATGGAATCAAGTAGCTCCAACACCGAAGCTGAAACAAAAGAATTTGTTGAGTTTGAGGAGATTTCTGGAAATGATGTTCAGATCACTCCTGAAGCAGTTTAAGAAGAACCAGTTACACCAAAACTGAGACGCTCCTCCAGAATTCCTAAACCAACCCAAAGGTATTCTCATTCTTTGTACTACTTGTTGCTGACTGACAATGGTGAACCAACGTGCTATGATGAAGCAATGCAAGTGGAGGATTCAGTCAAGTGGGAGTGTTCCATGAAAGATGAGATGGACTTGCTTATGTCAAATCAGACATGGGAATTAGATAAATTACCACCAGGCAAGGAAGCACTCTATAACAAGTGGATTTACAAGATCAAAGAAGAACACGATGGGAGCAAACGCTACAAAGTAAGATTGGTTGTCAAAGGCTTTCAGCAAAAAGAAGCTGCAGAGAATTTACATCTTGAGCAGTTAGATGTGAAGAAAGTTTTCCTTCATGGTGATTTGGAGGAAGAAATCTATATGAGGCAGCCAGAAGGCTTCATAGAGGCAGGCAAGAAAAATCTGGTATGCAGGTTGAAGAAGAGCTTGTATGATTTAAAACAAGCTCCTAGACAATGGTACAAGAAGTTCGATAGCTTCATGAGTAGCAGTGATTTTACCAGATGCCAAGCAGATCATTATTGCTACATCAAGAGGTTCGACAACAGCTTCATTATTTTATTATTGTACGTTGATGACATGCTCGTTGCAGGCTCAGACATGCAAGAGATTATACACTTGAAGCAAGAATTGTCAAAGCAGTTTGCTATGAAGGATCTGGGCGCTGCAAAGAAGATTCTTGGAATGAGGATTAAGAGAGACACAAATTTGGGGACTTTGATGTTATCACAGGCTGAGTATATCAACAAAGTACTTTCCAGGTTCAACATGCAAGATGTTAAACCAGTAAGTACACCTTTGGGTGTTCATTTTAGACTCTCTAAAGAACAGTCACCAAAGACGGAGGAAGAACGTGCACACATGGTGAAGGTGTCGTATGCCTCAGCAATTGGAAGTCTGATGTATGTCATGGTTTGTACTAGACTAGATATTGCTCATGTAGTAGGAGTTGTTAGCAGGTACATGAATAATCCAGGCAAGGTACACTGGGAAGTAGTCAAATGGATCCTCAGATATATGCGGGGTACTACAAACAAAGCACTTTGTTTCAAAGGTGGAGATACGATACTGACAGGCTATGTAGATGCTTACTTAGCCGGAAATGTTGACATCAGAAGAAGCACTACAGGGTATGTCTATACTCTAGGAGGAACCGCAGTGAGTTGAGTTTCTCAACTACAGAAGATAGTTGCTCTCTCCACAACTGAAGCAAAATATGTCGCTGTTACGGAAGCCAACAAGGAGATGGTATGACTCCAAAGTTTCTTGGAAGAGTTAGGCAAGAAACAAGAAAACAATGTCTTGTATTGCGACAGTCAAAGTTCTATCCATCTAGCGAAGAATCCGTCTTTTCATTCCAGGACGAAACACATACAATTGCGATATCACTTTATCCGGTCTCTTCTGGAAGATGGGATTTTGAAACTTGAAAAGATTAGTGGAGCTCAAAATCCGGTAGACATGTTAACAAAGACAGTGACTACGGATAAACTGAAGTTGTGTTCAGCTTCAGTTGGCATGCTAGAATAAAAAACCAGAAATATTGCTGCATTGATCGAGGTGTGAAGACAGATTAAAATCAGTCTTCAAGTGGGAGATTGTTGAGTTGAAAAGTCAAATAAAACAAAAAAAAACTTTCGGTGGGTTTTTAAAGCAACATGGGCTGCTATTAGGCAGCAATTGTTGATTTTTAGTAAGGGTAAATTACACTTTAGTCATTGCACTTTAGGGTATTTTCAAAGATTAGTCCCTAAGATTCAACTATAAATACCCTAGCTCATTTAGCTTCAAAATCATCCCAAAATCCCAAATCTTTTCTTTCTCCCAATACTAGAGAGCTTTCTTGTGAGTAGTGAGTGTTTTGTAAACACCTGTAAATTTTCTCTCTTAGTAAAAGATCTGCAGCAGTCCGGAGATGTAGGCAAAATTGGTTGAACTCCGTTATCAATTTCGGGTATTATTTTCCCGCTTTTATTTCGCATTCTCACTAATCTGGTTATAGGGAAATTACTCGTACTCGGTTTATTTCCCAACATTCTTTCTGTGGGGTTTTGGTTGGATTTTTTAATCCAGTTTCGATTTATCTTTTTGTAGATCTTTGTAAGCATCCAGTTGATGGGTTCTCAGCTGGATTGGTTGACGAGAACAATATCTTTGAATGGAGTGTGACAATCATTGGACTTCCTGATACTCTTTAGTACGCTCTTTTTCCTTTTTGGTAAAGTTTGTTACTTTAATTGAAATTAAGTGTTTCTTTTCAAATTCTTTGATGTAAGTTTTGTTTCTTGGCATTGAATCATCAACTGATGTTATAATTTACGTTGTTCTTGAGTAATCTTTGCTTTATAGCTAATGTTTTCGTTGTTTGTTGCCTTCATGTTGCTTATTCTCCGTTTATTATTCTTCTTCTTTAGTAATCTTAACATTAAATTGGGTTATATTGAAGTTGTTTTTTAGTATTTGTTGCTGTGAGAAAAATTGTTTTTAGTAATCTTGACATTTTATTATTTTTATTTTAAATCTTGTTTAACATAAATATTCTATTTTTTTTAGTGAGGGGGGATTTTTCAATGCCATCATGAGTTTTCCACATAACTATCCAAACAGCCCTCCAACAATGAAATTTACTTCAGAGATTTGGCATCCTAATTGTATACCTTTTGTTTACTCAGTTTCGTACTTGCCTTTATATGATACACAAACTAATTCCATCTTTATGTATATTGCAGTTTATCCTGATGGGCGTGTTTGCATCTCAATTCTTCATCCTTCTAGTGATGATCCAAATGGCTATGAGCTTGCAAGTGAGCTCTGGATACCAGTCCATACGGTATGTTTATGACATGCCATGTATTTTTGAATTTTCTTTTGTTCGTGCCTGTTCATATGCTAATAACATTCATATTCACAATGCCATTGATTTCAAATTTCTGGAGTTCATTTACTTGATTGCAATCAAGTAAATTGTTTATCGGACAAAGAAGAAAGATAGGAAAGAAGAGATATGCATCTAATTAGAAACCAACATTCTATATGAATGTTATTAGAATGATTTATTTGCATTCATAATTCTATCTTTATGTGTATTGCAGTTTATCCTGACATCTAAATGATTTATTCTTACTAGAATGAAGGTTGAAAATTATGTATTTTGTGGCATAAGTGAGTTTGATGGAGTTCACCAATGTGACAAGAATATTTTATGACCATAAGATACCCCTTAACCTTGACGGGTAAATTAAAGGGGCACTAGATGATTATTGCAATGGTTTCTCAGGTGATAGAGAGCTAGACATGTAAAATTGATGTTGTATTGGATAAATGTGACACGATTTATGCTTCTTTCAATTGGTGGGTGCTAATATCAGTTAAGAATTACTAATGTATTGATCATATCTATGTGTGGACCAAAACTATAATAACCCGAGTGGAATGAATTAATAACTATGTCAAAGGTGCAAGATATCTGACAGAAAAACAATAAAACATGGGGTAAATTGTAAATCGTCTGAGTAGCTTAAATTGGATGAAATGGATAAACAAATTCTTGTACATTAACATAATTGGTTTCAAATAAAGGCTTAGTTGAGGTACTGTCAAAATTTCAACAACTTAGTCTCTCTTGTTATTTCCTCTCCATTTATTTTATTATTGCTCCTGACTATTTTTTTTTTTTTTTGCTCGTCTTTTGTTTCTTGACCCTGTGATAGTGCACTAACAGATGTGCATTCATACTATTTGGCAGGTTGAAAGTATTGTTTTGAGTATCATATCAATGCTTTCGAGCCCTAACGACGAATCTCCAGCAATTGTTGAAGCTGCAGTAAGTGATTGTCTCGATTCATATATTTCCTTTCCGGTGCAACTGTTTCTTTTATTTGCTGGTGCTGATTAGATGTTATGGATGCCTTTCAACTTTCAGTATGGCAAATTGATTTTTACATTTACCTGCAACTTCCCTTCTGAATGTTGGATTCAAACTAAATTGTTTCACATATTATACAAAATTAACGTTAACTGGTAATTTTGACTAATTAAACCTTATTATAAATTACAATAATTTAAAATTTTCATTAAACATAAAGTTCATTTACAATTACATATACAGAATACTTACCCATAATTAGGATTTTTCTATCTACTCATAATTAGGGTTTTTCGGTCGTATAGCTGTGTTTTCTGAATCTTTATTGATTTTCATTTGCTGTCTAGACAAGGAGGGAATGACATACATGGCTCGACAGTACTTTGAAGATTTATTCAAATCGAGCTCCCCATAGATAGATGAGAGTAATGTAGAGGGTGTCAGTTTATGTATTACAGATGAAATAAATGCTTCGCTCATGAGATCATTTACCAGAGAAGAAGTGACAATTGGAATGAAGTCATTATGCCTTTTAAAAGCATCCAGAGAAGATGGCCTTGGAGCGTTATTTTACCAGAGATTTTGGCACTTAATTGATACGGAGATTTCAGACTATTGTATTGCCCTCATTGAAAATCTAGCAGATATGGAGGAAATCGATCACACTCATATTGTCTTGATCCGAAGGTAAATTCTCCAAATAATTTAACCCAGTTTCACCCAATTAGTCCGTGTAATGTAATTTTCAAAATTGTTTCGAAGATGTTGGTATTATAAATGCAAGGTTTTCTAAATAGTTGTATTGATGAAGCACAAAGCGCATTTAAGTCCCAGGCAAGTTGATTACAGAAAATGTTATCACAAATACTCTTTTATGAAGAAACATATGGGTTGCAAGGGATACTTTGCTCTAAAACTGGACATGAGCAAGGCATATGACAGAGTGGAGTAGTGTTTTATTTGAAGAGTGATGGAAAAATGGGATTCTCGAAAGCTTGGATAGCAATTTTAAGAAGATGCGTTTTGATTGTCTCTTATTCAGTAGTACTAAATGGTGTACCAGGAGAAAAATTTCTTCCTCGATGAGGGATTCGCCAAGGCGACCCCCCTATGCCCTTATCTTTTTCTGATATGTAGTGAAGGTTTATCTACGCTAATCTGTCAAGCTGTCCACAATGGTGAAATTGAAGGCGCAAATGGTAATAGATATGCACCGACAATTACTTATCTTTTATTTGCGGACGACAGCCTTATTTTCAGTGAGGCAACCGCTTTAAAGGAATAGAAAATCAAGCAAATCTTGTCAGTATATGGTAGATGCTCGGGTCAACAAATAAATTTTGACAAATCACGAGTCTTTTTCAGCTCAAACGTCATTGAAGAAAATCGTAGTGACTTTAAGCGCACCTTAGAAGTATCGAGTTCGTCAAATTTGGAGAAATATTTAGGTTTGCCAGCGATTGTGGGTAGGAACAAAAAGGGAGCTTTCATGAATGTCAATGACAAGATTCAAAGTTGGATTAGAAGTTGGAGTATCCGTGCATTATCTCGGGTGGAAAAGAGGTTTTCATTAAATCAGTTTTAAAGGCTATCCCTATCTATGCAATGAACTGTTTCTTTTTGCCAAAGATATTTTGTAAGAAAATAGAGAACATAATAGCCCGATTATGGTGGTAAAAAATCTGAACAAAAACGAAGAATTCTTGGTGTTCGTGGGAGTTTCTAAGTCGTTTAAAAAACGATGGAGGATTAGGTTTCAGATATATGGCTAAATTCAATGTTGCTCTGTTGGCAAAACAGGGATGGAGTTTCTAAGTCGTTTAAAAAACGATGGAGGATTAGGTTTCAGAGATATGGCTAAATTCAATGTTGCTCTGTTGGCAAAACAGGGATGGAGATTGATTGTAAACCCTGCGTTCTAGTAAACAGAATGCTTCGAGCTAAATATTATCCATCAAGTGATTTTTTACACTCATTTATACATCAAGGAAAGTCATTCAAAACGAGGAAATTATTACCTCGGTTCGTGTTCGGTATCATGAATACTCAAGTGGAAGCCGCCTTTAAACCCAACAGTGAAAGTGAATTTTGACCAGAGAAAGAATGAAGCAATTGCAGGTATCATAATCAGAGATGACATGGTTTTGGGTGCATGCAGAAAGCTAAAACAGAACGTTACCTCAGCGCTCATGGCTGAGGTGTTGAAAATAAAAGTCTAAAACAATGGCTAGCAGCCGGCGGCTATTGATTCAAAGATGGCTGTAATTTTGGTTGAAATTCATGGATGGTAAAACTACACATTTAGTCATTGTACTTTTAGGGTATTTTCAAGATTAATCCTTAAAGCTTCTACTATAAATACCTTAGCTCATTTAGCTTCAAAACCATCCCAAAGCATTCTAGCTTTCTTCCAACACTAGAGAGAGTTTCTTGAGAGTTGTTTTCTCCTTTTTATCTAGAGAGAATTATCATTGTTTTCTCCTTGGTAGATCGAGAGAGGTTGTAATTCCTATTTTCTCATAGTGAAATTCTTCTACCGTTGCCCGTGGTTTTTACCCTAAATATTTTAGGGGTTTTCCACGTAAATTTTGTGTCTCTTTTATCTTCATTTTTATTTTCTCAAATTATCAGTTGCGATTTTGCTCTATCCGATTGCCGTCTTCCGCAACAATTGGTATCAGAGCTAGATTAGAGTGTGTAATATCTGCTTATTGTCTTTGTGGTTGCCACCAAAAGGTGGATCCTCCAACATAAGAAAGTAAGAAGTTATTACTCATTCTTTGAAGGTTCCAGAGAACTATTCACTATAGTGAAATAGTGGGAGCTATCCGTAAAAGAAGCTATGGCAACGAAATTTGATATTGAAAAGTTCAATGGGAGAAATTTCTCATTGTGAAAATTAAAAATGAAGGCCATCCTGAGGAAAGACAGGTGTCTAGCGGCTATCAGTGAAAAGCCGGTGGATTTTGCAGATGACAACAAATGGATCGAAATGGACGGAAATGCTATGGCAAACTTTCATCTAGTATTAGCAGATGAAGTATTGTCAAGCATCGAGGAGAAGAAGACAGCTAAGGAGATATGGGATCATCTCACCAAATTGCACGAGGCCACATCGTTGCACAATAAAATTTTCCTTAAAAGGAAATTGTACACTCTCCGTATGCCAGAATCTACTTCAGTGACAGAGCACTTAAATACACTGAACACCTTATTTTCTCAGCTTACATCCTTAAGCTGTAAAATAGGAGAACAAGAACGTGCTGAACTCCTACTTCAAAGTCTACCGGATTTGTATGATCAACTCATCATCAACTTGACAAATAGTAATGTCACCAGTCTAGTCTTCGATGACGTTGCAGCTGCTGTTCTACAAGAAGAAAATCGGCGCAAGAACAAGAAAGACAGACAAGTAAATCTGCAACAAGCAGAAGCGTTGACAACGACGAGAGGGAGATCAACAGAACGTGGCCAAAGCAGCAGTCACAAACATGGTAGATCGAAGTCCAGAAGCAAAAAGAATTTAAAGTGTTACCACTGTGGAAAGAAGGGTCACTTGAAGAAGGATTGTTGGAGTCTCAATAAAAACTCCAATCCACAAGGCAATACCGCAAACTCTTCAGATGATGGAGATGCTCTATGCTGTGAAGCATCAACCACCGTAGAAGGAAGAAAACGATTTGCAGATATATGGCTCATTGATTCGGGAGCAACATATCACATGACCTCAAGAAGAGAATGGTTCCATCATTATGAACCTGTCTCAGGAGGATCTGTTTATAGTTGCAATGATCATGCCTTAGAGATCGTTGGCGTGGGAACCATCAAATTGAAGATGTATGATGGAACAATTAAAGTTGTTCGAGATGTGCGGCACGTGAAAGGCCTGAAGAAAAATTTATTATCCTACGGATTGTTGGATAATAATTCTAGCAAGATTGAAACACAGAAAGGAATCATGAAGGTGTTCCGTGGAGCGCTTGTGGTGCTGAAAGGCGAAAAGATAGCAGCAAACTTGTACATGCTAAAAGGAGAAACTTTGCTAGAAGCAGAAGCCTCTGTTGCCTCATGTAGTTCATATTCTGCAATGCTATGGAATCAGAAACTTAGACACATGTCAGAACAAGGAATGAAAGTCCTTGTGGAGCAAAAACTACTTCCAGGCTTAACAAAGGTATCACTTACTTTGTGTGAGCACTGCATAACAAGTAAGCAACACCGGTTGAAATTCAACACATCAAATTCTAGAGGCAAAAGTGTTCTAGAATTGGTTCACTCTGACGTATGGCAAGCACCGGTCACATCCCTAGGCGGAGCAAAATACTTTGTCTCATTTATTGATGACTACTCCAGGAGATGTTGGGTGTACCCTATTAAGAAGAAGTCAGATGTGTTTGCAACTTTCAAAAACTTCAAAGCGCGGGTGGAACTTGATTATGGAAATAAGATCAAGTGTTTCAGAACAGATAATGGAGGAGAATACACAAGCGAAGAATTTGATGACTTTTGCAAGAGAGAATGCATCAAAAGACAGTTCACGGTGGCGAACACTCCTCAACAAAATGGAGTGGCAGAGCGGATGAACAGAACCTTGTTAGAAAGAACACGAGCAATATTGAGGGATGCAGGCCTAGAAAAATCATTCTGGGCAGAAGCAGTCAATACCGCCTGTTATTTGGTGAATCGAGCTCCATCAACTGCAATAGAGCTGAAGACACCAATGGAGATGTGGACTGGTAAACTAGCTGATTATTCAAACCTCCATGTATTTGGAATTATTGTGTACGTGATGTACAACTCCCAAGAAATTTCGAAGTTGGATCCAAAATCCAGGAAATGTAAATTCTTGGGGTATGCTGATGGTGTAAAGGGGTATCACTTATGGGATCCCACTGCCCACAAAGTGATCATTAGCAGGGATGTTATCTTTGTAGAAGATAAGCTACAAAGAAAGAAGACGATGATAGCGCTGAAAAGTCAGAGACTACACAGATACATATGGAAAAGGAGGTTGAACAAGGAGATTCTTCTTAAGCAGAATCAGCACATGATGAACAAGAACCAAAGAG